CACACACGCACACACGCACACACACACACACACACACACACACACACACACACACACACACGCACGCACACACGCACACACACACACACACACACACACACACACACACACACGTACACATACACACACACATGCGCACAGGCACACACACACACGCGCGCACACGCATACACACATACACACACATGCGCACGCACGCACGCACGCACACACACACACACACACACACACACACACACACACACACACACACACACACATACACACACACACACACACACACACACACACACAGAGCGAGAGAGAGGAGTGAGAGAGAGGGGGGGAGGGGGGCGTAGAGAGAGAGAGAGAGACAGAGAGAGACAGACAGACGGAGAGACAGACAGACGGAGAGACAGAAAGACAGAGAGACAGGCAGACAGACAGGAAAGAGAGAGAGAAAGAGAAAGAGAGAGAGAGAGGGGGGGGGGGCGGGAGAGGGAGATAGAGAGAGTGGGAGGGGAGATAGATAGATAGAGAGAGAAGGATGGGGGAGATAGAGAGTGTAAATGAGAGAGAGAGAGTGAGAGAGAAAGAGAAAAAGAGATGGAGAGGTAGAGAGACAGGTAGATACACAGGAAAAAGAGGGAAAGAGAGATTGCGAGAGGGGGGGAGATAGCTAGATAGATAGAGAGAGAGAGGCAGAGAGAGAGAGAGAGAAGGGTGGGGGAGATAGAGAGAGTGAATGGAAGAGAGAGGGGGTGAATGAGAGCCTAAGTGTAAAGCCCCCCATTCACGCTACAGTCTTTAGCAATGGTAGGGTTATGGTATGGTCAACTGCACAAACCTATGCCCGAGTGGGTAGGCCACTCACGTTACATTCTTTTGCTCAGTTTTCACAACGTTTTGAATCGGAAAGATGTCTCTCTCTGATTGTTTTTCATCGGACGATTTAGTACATGTAGCGCTGGCACTTACATTACAAAGAAAAAAGAAAAAAAAGTCAAGATGGTACAAGCCATGGCTTTTGAAGAGGGATAGCTTATCGCATGAAGGATTGTTAAATGAACTTCGTTTGGAACCTGTTGATTATTTCAATTACTTGAGAATGGATGAGCAAACTTACTTAGAATTGTTATCACTATTGACTCCATTAATTAAAAGACAAGATACCGTCATGCGGAAAGCAATTTCATCCCATGAGAGGCTGAAAACACCCAGACACGGTTATGGTCTGCGTTATGGTACAGCCACAAGCCGCGAAAATATCAAACACGTTGGATATTGTTATGTTATGGTTCCGTCCAACTGCGCAAACCAAAAAAAGCCCCTCACGCTACATTAACTGCACAGTTTTACTGAACCATACTTGAACCGTAGCTCTTTTACGTAGCGTGAATGGGGGGCTAAGAACATATGTATTCAATAATATGTTGTTTAGATTACAAACAAATTTATCAGAGGCAGTTTATGGACTCCTGATATCAGAGGAAATCAACTGTATTAAAAAAAAACAGTATTGTATTTTCTAAACTTTATCGGGGTGTCAGAATATTGTACAACAGCGTCAGTTAGTGTCACATCGAGTCATTTGATTAGTACATTTGATACTTCAGTGGCAAAAGGTGGACGCGTGTCTCTTGCTGCAAAATGATGAAGTGAATGTCAGTTTGGGATCTGACATCGAACGTGAGAGGATCTTTCATATTGTGTTTGTATGTTTACATGGATGGATAGATGGAGAAAGATAGATAGAGGAGAGAGAGAGAGAGAGAGAGAGAGAGAGAGAGAGAGAGAGAGAGAGAGAGAGAGAGAGAGAGAGAGACAGACAGACAGACAGACAGACAGACAGACAGACTGACTGACTGACAAACAGTAATTAGATGCAAAGAAATGAAAGGATTACGAGCCTAAAGAATAACGAAATCGGACAACCTGAGTAAAACAAAACCAAAGGGAGAATGATGATAAACAATCGCTATACAAAATCCTTAAATACGCATCATAATCGAAAAAACACACTAAACAAAAATACAGATAAATGAAAAAACGAGAGAGACCCAGTAAATCCCAGAATCGGAGCGTGACGGCAAGTGTGAAAGCCAGTGGAGTAACAAACATCCCGAAAAACAACACAGGATGAGAGAACACGTGCCTGGCGTCACAGATCTCTGACGTCATCGTGTGCGCCTCGAGGGCTATTGTCTGCTCTGTATGTTTTGTTTTTTTTTCCTGCTTGGTTTTAATAGAGTCGATATGTGTTTTGATATCTTGTTGACATTTCTATTTCTCATTTCTCATAATCCTTTGTTTCGTATTTCACCATGTGATGGAGTAATTCATGTGTCCTTTTATGTATCAATTACTCTAGTCACCACCGTTTCTCCGATGCAGAAAAATCTCTGTAGTCCTGCTGATACATCGATGGCGTCAGAGAAAATGACGTCACGGATGCATATGACGTCACGCATTCACAGGGAACATCGCAGGAAAAGCAGAATAATGGACGGTGATGCAGCATTTCGGAAACCACAGCTGGATATTACAGTTGATACAAGAATGATTCAGAACATTGTGATATCAAAAGACAAAAGATCTTCGTGGTAGCTCTGAGATATATAACTGGAAGGAAGAAGAAAAAACAGGCTTCTTTATAGAATATTTATTTATTTCTAAAATGTTATGTTTATCTAAAATACATGTGCATATATAAACCCTGCTTTCTTGCAACAAGAAATGAAAAATATTTCCATTCGTATTACTCTTTATAATATCCATACACATAACACAGAGTAACTTAAAAGCATTCGTTTACAAAATCAACGGAAATGAAAACTGAAAAAATAGCCAATATCTTCCGGTTTATTTCCTATCAATTAAATGATTACTGATATTTTACTGTTGATTTATTTCCTAGAGTATTATTTCGCTTTAAACTCAATTGGGAAAAATCCTACGTACTTCACGCTATAGAAAAAGGGAAGTATATCAACCAAACATCCCTGAATGTATAGAAAACGAGAATTGGCAAACTATAGACAAAATAGACATCCGGACACGCATCCTTAACTTCATAGAAAGTGGGAATACACGAATTTCATTTAACTCATTCGCGACGGGTGTCACGTATACGTGACATGCCCACTATGAGTTTACTTGTTTAGTTGTTTTACCCGTAGATGGCTACATTTGTACTTGTACTGCCTGTCTCGCCCGTTTACCCTTTTATTTTGTGTTTATTTTGTGTTATCTTATTTTGCTGTTACTAATGTTTATAACATTTTAGTAAGTATAATGTTTATAATAAAAATAACCATCAATATTCACATTTTCCCGCCAATTCAAATCAGGTAAGGCAGAGCCATCTACGTGTAGAGACATTTCAAAAAAAATATAAAAAATGAGCACAGCATTTTCCCCATTTTCTGTTCATCATTACCCGTCGCGAATGGGTTATTATTTTTTTAATGAAAGATTTGTATTAATTCCTATCGGATATTGAAGATATAACATCAAACACCCGTCTCCTACTTCAGAAAAAAATGGAATACATCAGATAAATATTCCTCACTCCATCAAAAAAGAAGACCTTGAGAAGCATATAACAAATACACAGTGATCCCACCACTTTTCATCATTCATCAGTATTGGAAGCATCAAAATCACATATCTCACCTCCACAGAAAATGGGAAAACACATCACTCATTTCATAAGAAATGGGAAACATATATCTTACTTCACAGAAAATAGGAAATACATCTCTCACTTCACAGACTCTGGAAACACATTATCTACCAAACGGAAAAATTCCAAGTGAGGGATCTTCACTATCCTTAGAGAAAATAAGAAAAAACATATCATTAACGTAGAAAATAGGAAACACCAAATATCATTCACTTAACACCCCTCATCCTTCACTTCATAGAAAATGGGAAACAACACTTTTTCTTCATAGAAAATGGGAAACATCAACCATGCATCCCTCACTTCATTAAAAAACGGGAAGACTAGATACACCATCCTTTAGCATCATAAAACAACTAAGCATTTCCTAAATCCACACACACAAAAACGAAAGAATAAATACATACATTTTCGTCCCGCAGAAAACGAGAAAGACCTTCCCACTTCCACATAAAACGAGCGACATAACACCCCCTCCCCCACTCCACCCCTCCCTCCCACCACAGAAAACGGGAAGACAAGCCAAAAACGAAGGATAGACTCCAAAATCCTCCTAGAAAAGCCACTCGTACGTCATGTTAGACACGAAAACGGCTCTCGATCTCGAAGAAGGGTTTTCCTCTCGACGTTCCTGCCTGAGGAAGAGGTTGACGCGCTCGTGCAGCTGAGGGAGGGTGACACCGTGGATGATTTCCCTCGCGCAGGCGGCGCTGAAGGGCGTGCACCGCGACCCTATCACCTGAGGGGATGGAGGTTTGAGAGGAAAACGGATAGTAAACAATGCAGAAAAGAAAAAAAGAAAGTGCAGAAAAAAGTAAACACTGAAGAAAACAAATGTTGAAAATGACAATAAAACAAAGTTTAGTAAGAAAAAAAGGGGAATAAGGAAAAGTAACAATAAACGCTTTAAAAGAAGAAAAAAGAAAATGAGTAAGGAAAAATAATGAACGCTTTAAAAAAGGAATAAGGAAAAAATTCAATAAGAGTTTAAAACCAAAAATGAGGGAGAAGGGACCGCTTCCCCCCACCACCCGAGGGGGGGGGGCGGAAGAACGAGAAAAAGGCATTAAAAGAAGAAAGAAAACAGTTGAATAAAAGAGGAATTAGGGACCACCTCGATCCCACCATCTGACTGGGAAACGAAGGATAATAAGAGAAAAATATATATATATATATGTAAATATACGTGTATATATTAGAATAGACAAAAACGAAAGAATAAATACATACATTTTCGTCCCGCAGAAAACGAGAAAGACCTTCCCACTTCCACATAAAACGAGCGACATAACACCCCCTCCCCCACTCCACCCCTCCCTCCCACCACAGAAAAACGGGAAGACAAGCCAAAAACGAAGGATAGACTCCAAAATCCTCCTAGAAAAGCCACTCGTACGTCATGTTAGACACGAAAACGGCTCTCGATCTCGAAGAAGGGTTTTCCTCTCGACGTTCCTGCCTGAGGAAGAGGTTGACGCGCTCGTGCAGCTGAGGGAGGGTGACACCGTGGATGATTTCCCTCGCGCAGGCGGCGCTGAAGGGCGTGCACCGCGACCCTATCACCTGAGGGGATGGAGGTTTGAGAGGAAAACGGATAGTAAACAATGCAGAAAAGAAAAAAAGAAAGTGCAGAAAAAAGTAAACACTGAAGAAAACAAATGTTGAAAATGACAATAAAACAAAGTTTAGTAAGAAAAAAGGGGAATAAGGAAAAGTAACAATAAACGCTTTAAAAGAAGAAAAAAGAAAATGAGTAAGGAAAAATAATGAACGCTTTAAAAAAGGAATAAGGAAAAAATTCAATAAGAGTTTAAAACCAAAAATGAGGGAGAAGGGACCGCTTCCCCCCACCACCCGAGGGGGGGGGGGCGGAAGAACGAGAAAAAGGCATTAAAAGAAGAAAGAAAACAGTTGAATAAAAGAGGAATTAGGGACCACCTCGATCCCACCATCTGACTGGGAAACGAAGGATAATAAGAGAAAAATATATATATATATATGTAAATATACGTGTATATATTAGAATAGAACAAAAAATAAAGAAGAATAAGGAACTAAATAACAAACAGGTAGATAAATACGTAAGTTAACAAATGAAAAATAAAGAAGTACATACGTAAATAAATAAACAAACAGAAAAACGCAGATAAATATAAGCAAAAATATCATCAAACATACAAACAAAAATTAAGACAAACCAAACCAGAAAATCGGCTGACTTGTCTTGCCCGTTTCAAACAAACAAATGGACAGACAAACAAACGGATAAATGAGCATACAAACAAACAGATATACAAACAAAAAGAAAACCAGAAACCTGCTTCTTGCCCGTCGACACGCCCGCCAGCGCCGCCATCTTGGGGTGCGCGAGGGGCGGCAGAGCGAGGGCGTGGCCAGGGCCGCCTGCACGCCCATCTGAAGGCAAATCCTCGGCGAATTTCACACCCACGGCGTCTAGGAGGAAGATGAGCGTGGGCGCGGGGGCGAGGGCGTGAATGAGGGAGGAGAGGAGGACGTTGGTGGGCGTGGCGTGGGCGGAGGGGGCGGGTAGGCTCAGGGCGGGGCCTGCGGGCGTGATTAGGATCTGGGGGCGGGGGTAGGGTAGTGAGAGCGATGTTGTGGTTGTGAAAATGATGCGGTTATGAGAATGTTGGGGTTGTAAGAGTGATAGTGTGGTTTTGAAAGTGATGTGATGTACCTTGGCTTTTTACAGTGATCGGGTGATGGCGACAATGGTGATGGCAGTGATGGTATTGGTATGCTAATAGCACCGCTGGTAAGAAATGAAATGCTAATCGTAATTTGAATAGCAATAGTAATAATAATAGGAATTATAATAGTATTTTCAGTCCCCCTTTGTTTGGTAAACTAACATTTTCTTTTTCATACTAACATTAACTTTTTTATACTATCCTAACAGGCACCCCCCCCCCATTCCGTTTAACAGACATTGCATTTGTATATATCTGATACACATATATTTCTGATACAAGAAAAGCCTATAATCAAATATTTATTTAAATGTATTATAAGAAGGAGAAATTACGCTTTCCCACTTTCTCTGACAAAAGATCTTCAGATGAGGGGACTTCAGTAGGCAACATTCGATGTCCTCCACATTTTCTTTAATAAAATAATCTTCAAATGAAGGGATATTTCAGATTATTTTCAGAAGAGGGGAAACCGACGACTCCCCTTTTTTATAAATGACCTTCATATTAGGGGAAAATCCGATATCATTACCGTCTTTTCGTTTTCTTTAACCAGAAAGTTCTTATTCAAGGGGATACTCACCTATTCCAAAAACGCGTAAATAAATCAACTTACCTCGCCGCTCACGTAGAGTACAGCTGCACCTTGAGCACTGGCATCGATCTTAGAAGCAAAGTCCTGTACTTGGGTCGAGAGAGACTGGGGTGTTGCTCGTCGTAACACGTGCTGGATGACCTGTGGTGACGTTCATATTAAAGGCTTGTTCAAAAAGTATTGGTTATCATTAATGCAATTGAGTTTGGGGTGCCGTATTAAGTAGAATGATTAAATTTTATTTTATTTTATTTTGCAGTGTTTGTTCTTTCGGGAGAAATTGTTGTTTTTAATCTGAAATATGTCATTGACAGAAGACAGGATTTCAAATATCCAAACGCGACCAGATGACCTGAAACACCGAAACCCGACCTCCGACCTCACCACCCGATCTACAACATCACTAACTGACCTGGAACATCATTGACATCACCACCCGGCCTGAAACACCCTAACGGTACCCTCGCCCATCACCGACTGACCTGGAACGGCCGAGGAAGAGACAGGAGCACGGACGCGACTTCACCCCCGCCTGCGACGCCCCCTTCGCCAGCCCGCCCGACGCCATCGAGGACCAGGGAGGGCGGAGGCGCGCACAGCACGAGGGCGTGGCGGACCTGAAACAGAATGGGAATAATATCTATTGTGATACATTATCCTTGTGATTTTTGTAATAGTTTGTTAATATGAGTTACTGTAATGAAGGTTAATTATATTCAGTGTGTTGTAATTAAGGGCTATAGTTAAGGGACTGTGTGGACTGTATATTAATAAGGAAATATAACACGAAAGGAGGACGGACGTAAAGCAGGATGGTGATATTTGCCGTATCTGTTATTTTAAGGGATGGAGGTGTGTGCTTTATCACTATGCGTATTATAATCAAAGTAAAAAATGAGTCGATTATATATATTAGGGATGTAGTTGTGTACATGTAAGTATGGGAATTATGATTGTGAGGATTATATGCTAGTAGGAACACATGTACCAAGAGCGTAACAGAAAATAACGTGGTTGCTTTTATATCTGCTGTAATAGGTCTGTATTTCATAAATGTGTGTCTAATAGTTGCGTGAAAGGAAGAATGGCATTGCAGCATCAGAACAAGGTAGTGTTGCCTCTTGCATCTGTCGTAACAAGGGGTACGCCTTTTATAACTGTGCCACAACACATCTACGAACAAAACTGTGTGCTTCACATAAACAGGAAAGTACCTATGGGACAAGTGTGTGATGGTCTAAAAAATGTGTCATAGGAATTTGTGTATTGAATTATTATGCATGTGTGTGTGTTTGTTATGTTTAAATTTCTGTGTGTGAAGTATCGTACGTAAAAATGTTGGCAAACAGAGAGAAAAAATAAACTGACGATAAGCGTCTCCAATGAGCGCTAAATCAACCACCAATAAACTACGTAGAACAAACAAACAAGGAATAAACAAGTAGAATCATTCTTAAAAGCTACTTATATATAACCCCTCTGACCCTCGACACGCGGCCTCACCTCACTGTTGTTTCTGTAGAGGTTGACCATCGCCTTCAGGTTCGGCGGGAGGTACGGGGGCCGCACGCCCGCCCGCGACAGGGAGTGGGCGGGGTGCTGCAGCAGCACGCGCACGCTCTCGTGCTGGGCGCGCTGGGGGAGGCAGCGCGTCAGTTTTTTTTTCTTTTTTTGATGTGTAGATATTCTGATATAGAGCTATGGGCGTATTCTCATTCATATGCAATAGATAAAATTCACGTGTAATAAACACATAAACGCACACACACACACACACACACACACACACACACACACACACACACACACACACACACACACACACACACACACACACACACACACACACACAAACACACACACATACACACACAAACACACACACACACACACACACACACACAAACACACTCATACACGCGTGTGTAATTGTGTGTGCATGTATACACATACATGTATTTCTACAGATACGTACAAGGAACGTCCCTGAGGCCTGGCGTGCGAGATGCACAGACATCCTACACACATCCACGTAACAGACAAAGGGTTAGAGAGAAAGATATAATAAACATATAATACCCCCCCCCCCCCTGACGCCCACCTGGAGAACCGAGAAGGACAACAGACCCCCCCCCCCCCCCGTACCCACCTCGAGCGCTGCGACGAGCGGCGTGCGGCCCGAGTTGGTGGCGTTGACGTCGACGGCGGGGTGGCTCGCCAGCTGCTGCACGACGTCCACCTGGCCCGCCTCGCACGCCAGGCCCAGGGCGGAGAGGCCGTCGGGGCTGAGGGCGTTCACCTCCAGGGACCGGACCTGAAGGAGGCGACGAGGGAGGAGGACGAGGGGGAAGGGGAGGGCGAGGAGGTAGACGAGGAGGAGGAATAAGAGGAGGAAGATTAGGAGGAGGAGGAGGACGAGGAGGAAGAGGAGGAGGAGGAGGAGGAGGAGGAGGAGGAGGAGGAGGAGGAAGAGGAAGAGGAAGAGGAAGAGGAAGAGGAAGAGGAAGAGGAGGAGAAGAAGGAGGAGGAGGAGGAATAAGAGGAGGAGATTAGGAGCGGAGGAGGGGAGGAGGGGGAGATTTCTGTGTAAGTAATTCAAGTCGCGTAGATATTGTTTCATGATAAGGTTGTTTCTGCCATTCATTCATTCATTCTGCATTCAGTAAGTTAGTCTTGCATTAAACAGTTGGCTCATTCAGTCAGTCAGTCATGCATTAAACTCTTTCGATCAATCAGCCATGCATTAAAGTCAGTCCTTCATTCAGCCATGCATTAACCTCATTCAACCAGTCATGCATGAAAGAACCGACTCGTTCATGCATGAACAGCTTCGCCTCAAGACCTCACCTGCAGCAGCGCGATGACGATCACGCGGAAGCCCAGCATGGCGGTCCACATGAGCGGCGTCATGCCCTGGTCGTCTCTCCTCTCCAGGTCCACGCCGCTCGTCTCCACCAGGGCCAGGGCGGCGTCCACGTTGCCGGACTTGCAAGCGTGCAGGAGGGCGGTGCAAGATCGCTCGTCGGTGGCATTCAGCTGTGCAATGTTGGGGGAAATTAGGGGAGGTCAGAGAGGGGCCCCCTCTCTGACCACCCCCTCTGGCGGTTGGACATTGCTTATTTTGTTTCATTCTTTCTTTCTTTCATGCATTCATTCATTCTTCTTTTCATTCGTTCTTCCTTTCTTTCTTCCTTTCTATCTTTCTTTCTTTCTCTTATTATATGTTTCTTTCTTTAATTCTTTCTCTTTTTTCCTTCTCTCTTGCTTTCATTCTTTCTTTCCTTCTTTCCTCTTATCTTTCTTTTGTTGGTTTGTAGTTTGGAAAGTCTGAGACTGAAAGGCTGTCGGAACGCTATTTCCATGCTGACAGTAATGCATATGAGAGGCGAAGGTGGTTCCAAAAGAAGGGAAAATATAACGGCAAAAAATAATCATGAATAAATAAACGTGTTAAAAGACAAGTACATAGATGAATTGATAAATAAACAAACAAATCAATCAATCAGCAGATGACTAAAAGGACACCTCGGGCCCCGACCCCCACCTCGACGGCGGCGTTGGCCAGCATGAGGCGCAGCGCCGGCATCCCTTCCGGGAACATGGCGGCGTACATGAGCGCCGTCTTGCTCTCCAGCGTGTGCGCGTTGACGTCGACGTCCGTCCTGGCCAGCAGGAGCATCGCCAGGTCGTAGTGTCCGTCGGCGAGGGCACGGATGAGCGGCGTCTTCCCCTCGGCGTCGGCGAGGTTGATGTCGATGTCGGGTCGGTCGAGCAGCGCCTCGACGGAAGGGCGCGAGTGGCGGCGGACGGCGTGCATGAGCGCGCTCGCGCGGAAGTCGTCTGGCTTGTTGACCAGCACGTTCTTGCGGGCGCACAGCAGCTCCACGATGCGCGGGTGGTCGTGGCGCGCCGCCAGCAGCAGCGACGAGGAGCCGTTCTCGCGGCACGTCAGGTTCGGGTCCACGTCGGGGTGCGAGAAGAGCAGGCGCACCACGCCCTCGCGACCCAGCATGCTCGCGTGGATGAGCGCCGTCTTCTCCTCGCCGTCGCGCAGGTTGACGTCCACCAGCGGATGCTCCATCAGCAGCTTGGCGCACTCCAGGTGGCCGTTTTTGGCGGCCAGGATGAGGGCGGTGCTGCCATGCGGGTCCCGCAGATTCACGCCCACCCCTGGCTGCTGCAGCAGGCGGCGAGAGACCTCCACGGCGCCCTGGTGGCCAGCTGCTACCAGCAAGGGCGTGTCGCCCTCGTCGTCGGGCAGATTGACGTCCGTGTCCTTGTGGTTGATGAGGATTTCGGCGACGTCGTCGTTGCCCGCCCTGACGGCGAGCATGAGGGCGGTGCAGCCGCCGGCCGCCCGGGCGTTGACGTCGATGGACGGGTGGCGCAGCAGGGCGTTGGTGATCTCGACCATGCCCGCCGCGGCAGCGATGGTGAGGGCGGTGTGGCCGTGAGTATCGCGCTGGTTGACGCTGACGTCGGAGCACTTGAGGAGGACGCCGAGCGCGCGGATTTGGCCGTGCTCCGCCGCCACCATGAGCGCCGTCCGGCCGCGCCAGTCCACCGCGTTGTAGCCGACGTTCTCGTGGCTGAGCAAGAGGCGCAGCACCTCCGGGTGACCGTTGCGGGCGGCGGCCATGAGCGGCGTGTGGCCCTGCTCATCTCGCTCGTTGACGTCGAGGCCGGGCACCAGCAGGAACACCTTGACCACGTCGGCCTGCCCGCTTGCCACCGCCCACGCGAACGACGTCTTGCCCGTCTTCTGGCGCCAGTTGACGTACGGGCCGTTCTCCAGCAGCTTGACCACATCGCCGATGTTGTCCACCTGCATGTCACTGACGGGGTGGCTGTAGCGCTGGTGCAGCCGCGACGGCGTGTGGAAGGAGCTCTCCGAGGACGCGTCGTCGACGGCGTCATCAGACAGCTCCGTCGTCAGCTCGGCGTAGCGCGTCAGCAGCTGCTCGATCTCCTTGTTCTCGAGCTGCTTGGCCCACGCGAGCGCCGTGCGCCCTTGCTGGTCCTTGAGCTCGGTGTCGCCGCGCGCGTCGCGCAGGAGCGTCTTGACGGCGAGCAGCTGGTTGCAGCGCGCCGCCCACATGAGGGGCGTGAGGCCGTCGGCATCGGCCGTGTCAGGCTGAAGCAGCTCGTACTGCTGCAGGAGCTCGATGACGTGGCCGGAGCCGTTCCTGGCCGCCCACGCCAGCGCCGTCAGCCCCTGGCCGTCGCTCTCGTTGATGTCCACCTCGGGGTGCGCCAGCAGGCGCTCGATCACTGAGCGCTGGCCGCTGCGCGCCGCCATGAGCAGCGCCGTGAAGCCCGTGCGCGTCCTGTGCTTGAGGGAAGCCTTGCGGTGCGACAGGATGGCGCTGAGGACGTCCTCGTGGCCCGTGAAGGCGGCCATCATGGCGGGCGTGAGGCCCTCCAGGTCGGCCAGGTTGGGCTTGATGCTCGGGTGGTGCAGCAGGATGTAGGCGCAGTCGGCGTGGCCCGCGCGCGCCGCGAACAGGAGCGCCGTGCGCCCCTGGTTGTC